ATGATTCTTTGTATTTCTGCAGTGTCAGTTGTTACTCCTCCTTTTCATTTCTAATTCTATTGATTTGAGTCTTCTCCTTTTTTTTCTTGATGAGTCTGGCCAATGGTTTATCAATTTTGTTTATCTTTTCAAAGAACCAGCTTTTAGTTTTATTGATCTTTGCTATTGTTTTCATCATTTCTTTTTCATTTATTTCTGATCTGATATTTATGACTTCTTTCCTTCTGCTAACTTTGGGGTTTTTTGTTCTTTCTTTAACGGCTTTAGGAAAAAGGTTAGGTTGTTTATTTGGGATTTTTCTTGTTTCTTGAGGTGGGATTGTATTGGTGTAAACTTCCCTCTTAGAACTGCTTTTGCTGCATCCCATAGGTTTCGGGTCATCGTGTTTTCATTGTCATTTGTTTCTAGGTAGTTTTTGATTTCCTCTTTGATTTCTTCCGTGATCTCTTGGTTATTAAGTAGTGTATTGTTTAGCCTCCGTATGTTTGTAGTTTTTACAGATTTTTTTCCTGTAGCTGATATCTAGTCTCACAGTGTTGTCGTCAGAAAAGATACTTGACACAATTTCAATTTTCTTAAACTTACCAAGGCTTGATTTGTGACCCAAGATATGATCTATCCTGGAGAACGTTCCATGAGCACTTAAGAATAAAGTGTATTCTGTTGTTTTTGGATGGAATGTTCTATAAATATCAATTAAGTCCATCTTGTTTAATGTGTCATTTAAAGCTGTGTTTCCTTATTTATTTTCATCTTGGATGATCTGTCCATTGGTGAAAGTGGGGTGTTAAAGTCCTCTACTATGATTGTGTTGCTGTCGATTTCCCCTTTTATGGCTGTTAGCATTTGCCTTTGTATTGAGGTGCTCCTATGCTGGGTGCGTAAATAGTTACGATTATTATATCTTCTTGGGTTGATCTCTGGATCATTATGTAGTGTCCTTCTTTGTCTCTTGTAATAGTCTTTATTTTGAAGTCTATTTTGTCTGATATGAGAATTGCTACTCCAGCTTTCTTTTGGTTTCCATTTGCATGGAATATCTTTCCATCCCCTCACTTTCAGTCTGTATGTGTCCCTAAGTGTGAAGTGGGTCTCTTGTAGACAGCATATATATGGGTCTTGTTTTTGTATCCATTCAGTCAGTCTATGTCTTTTGGTTGGAGCATTTAATCCATTTACATTTAGGGTAGTTATTGATATGTATGTTCCTATTACCATTTTCTAAATTGTTTTGGGTTTGTTATTATAGGTCTTCTTCTCTTTTGTTTCCTGCCTAGAGAAGTTCTTTTAGCGTTTGTTGTACAGCTGGTTTGGTGGTGCTGAATTCTTTTAGCTTTTGCTTGTCTGTAAAGCTTTTAATTTCTCCGTTGAATCTGAATAAGATCCTTGCTGGGTAGAGTAATCTTGGGTGTAAGTTTTTCCCTTTCATCACTTTAAATATGTCCTGCCACTCCCTTCTGGCTTTCAGAGTTTCTGCTGAAGGATGAGCTGTTAACCTTATGGGGATTCCCTTGTATATTATCTGTTCCTTTTCCCTTGCTGCTTTTAACATTTTTTCTTTGTATTTAATTTTTGATAGTTTGATTAATATGTGTCTTGGCATGTTTCTCCTTGGATTTATCTTGTATGTGACTCTCTGTGCTTCCTGGACTTAATGGACTATTTCCTTTCCTATATTCGGGAAGTTTTCAACTGTAATCTCTTCAAATATTTTCTTAGTCCCTTTCTTTTTCTCTTCTTCTTCTGGGATCCTTATAATTTGAATGTTAGTGCGTTTAATGTTGTCCCAGAGGTCTCTGAGACTGTCCTCAATTATTTTCATTCTTTTTTCTTTATTCTGCTCTGTGGTAGTTATTTCCACTATTCTATCTTCCAGGTCTCTTATCTGTTCTTCTGCCTCAGTTATTGTGCTATTGATTCCTTCTAGAGAATTTTTAATTTTATTTATTGTGTTGTTCATCATTGTTTGTTTGCTCTTTAGTTCTTCTAGGTCCTTGTTAAATGTTTCTTGTATTTTCTCCATTCTTTTTCCAAGATTTTGGATCATCTTTACTATCATTATTCTGAATTCTTTTTCAGGTAGACTGCCTATTTCCTCATTTGTTTGGTCTGGTGGGTTTTTATCTTGCTCCTTCATCTGCTGTGTGTTTCTCTGTCTTCTCATTTTGTTTAAATTACTGTGTTTAGGATCTCCTTTTCACAGGCTGCAGGTTCGTAGTTCGTGTTGTTTTTGGTGTCTGCCCCCAGTGGCGAAGGTTGGTTCAGTGGGTTGTGTAGGCTTCCCGGTGAGGCGACTGGTGCCTGTGTTCTGGTGGATAAGGCTGGATCTTGTCTTTCTGGTGGGCAGGACCGCGTCTGGTGGTGTGTTTTGGGGTGTCTGTGACCTTATTATGATTTTAGGCAGCCTCTCTGCTAATGGATGGGGTTGTGTTCCTGTCTTGCTAGTTGTTTGGCATAGGGTGTCCAGCACCATAGCTTGCTGTTCGTTGAGTAGAGCTGGGTCTTAGTGTTGAGATGGAGATCTCTGGGAGAGCTTTCAGTGGTTGATATTACCTGGAGCCGGGAGGTCTCTGGTGGACCAGTGTCCTGAACTTGGCTCTCCCACCTCAGAGGCACAGGCCTGACACCCAGCCAGAGCACCAAGACAGTGTCAGCCACAGGGCTCTGATATTAGTAGTGCCAGAAGGCTCTTAACAGCGGTCTCAGCCACAGAATCTCAGCTTAATGACATGCTCTGTGCCTTTGTAGGAGCCGCGACACCACCCCCACCACCACCGGCTGCATGCTCTTCCGGCTCTGCACCAACCCTCCTTCCTCCATGTGCCTCTAGGCGGTGCCCTGGGCCTTGTGTGCCTTTTACACGTGGTAAATGGAGGCTCAGAGTGCAGGTCAGCCGAGGTCATGCCCCAACCCAAAAAGCCTTTACTTTCAACCATAGTTTCTTTTTAATAACACATTATATCAGGAAAGAGAGGTAAACATGAGTATATTCAAAGAGAATATACTTGTATCAATTTAGAAAATTCTATGCAAGAGGTTTCTTCTGGAACAGTAACAAAAGATTCCTTATATATTTAAATACTTTATTATGCAGTTATCAAAGGTAAAGATCCGGGATTCCCAGGTGGCGCAGTGGTTGAGAGTCTGCCTGCTGATGCAGGGGACACGGGTTTGTGTCCTTGTCCGGGAAGCTTCCACATGCCGCGGAGTGCCTGGGCCTGTGAGCCATGGCCGCTGAGCCCGTGTGTCCGGAGCCTGTGCTCCGCAACGGGAGAGGCCACAACAGTGAGAGGCCCACGTACCACAAAAAAAAAAAAAAGGTAAAGACCATCTTGATCCAGGTATAAGCCAGCTGCTCTCCGAAACCATGAACAAAATTATGTTCCTGGTTTAAAAGACTCAAATAAATGTTTCCATGGTATGACATACTTTTAAATTGGACATGTACTTTAATAACAACCACATTTAAGTAAGTACATCCCATAATCTAGAGAAGAGACTAATTTTAAAAAGCCTAAAGTATATCCTACACTATTCACTAAGATTGAATATTTATTAGTTCATTTAATCTTACTTATTTAAATCTTTAAAATGAGATTTAATTTCATTTTTAAACTCAAATAGAGAAAAGCATGCAACATAATCATGAAAGTAAAAAAATTCAGTATTTTTGAGGTAAAAATATCAAACCATTTATTACATAACTTCAAGAAGCTATGTTTTGAAAAATTAAATAAACTTGTCTAAAATGCTTCTTACAATTATAAGCACGTGTAATATTACTATATAAGCCTTCCTTTTTAATTCTTATCCAATCTAAATCTTTTAGAATGAGGGAAAAGGGTATGCATTTTTAATACTAATGGAATGAAATGATACTATATGAATTTCTCATGTTTTAATGATGTTGTTTTGAGAACTCAAGGATGATATCGATCTCTCTAATTTCAACATTCAGGGGCAGAAACTGAAAATCAATATAGTTCTACTGTGCTAAATAACTACTCAGGAATGTGTTCTCTTCCTCTAAAACCACTTTGCACTTCCAGTCTGAGACTGTCAAGCCTTCTCCAACTGTAATTTCTCCTCTCTGTCCTTGGCATAACCAGTGAATACATAGTTTATATTTTATATCTGATAAATGGTAAGCCAAAATACAGTCAAGCCTTTCAAAAATTTTAACCAAAATATTAAATAATCAGAGACCTGATCAAAGATTTACGTATAAGGATAGTACTCATAGTATTATAGATATGAGGAAAAAAAACTAGAAACAATCTTAAATCTTACAGCAGGGAACTAGTTACAATTAATAATGTTATATCCACACAATGGAATACCACATAGTCATCAAATATCATATTTTCTAAGAATGCTAAGAATATGTGGATAAAATAGATAACTAATAAGAACCTACTGTATAGCACAGGGAACTTTACTCAATACTCTGTAATGACCTATATGGGAATAGAAGCTAAAAAAGAGTGGATATATGTATATGTATAACTGATTCACTTTGCTGTACACCTGAAACTAACACAACATTGTAAATCAACTATACTCCAATAAAAAACTAAAAAAGAATATGTGACAATGCTAGTAATATGCTATTGAGTGAAAAAGGAAGATACAAAGTAATATGACTCCAATTTTATAAAAGGAATATACACACAGAAGAAAAATCTGGAATATATAATAAAATATTAATAGTAGTTCTCTAGACATAAGGAATACAGGTGATTCTTACTTTCTTAATACTTCTGTTTTTCATAAATTTCACTGAACATATAAAACTTCTATTTTGAAAGATAATTTAAAAAATAAAATATCAAAAAGTTTAAAATATATTTTCTGCTAAATCAACATAAATATGCTTTTTCAAGGTAGTTGATTGAAATTTCTGACTGAATCAAATCAATCAGCATTAAAGGTCATATATCTTATGCTGAAACACTATTTCATCTGTAGACAGTGAACCACATAAAGAGTCCAATACGCACCTTGTTTTTCTTCAGGTGTTTCTACAAAATAAGGCATTCTTTTCACTGTTTCTCTCAACTCCTGTTTCAGGGCCAGCACATAATCTTCACCCTCTCCTGTTTTCAGTGGCACTGGTTTATAATCTGTATCCTGTTTAAATTAAGAGGCAATTTTTAAAAATAAATTAAATATCTTAATATCCTTTTTGTCTATATTCTGAAAAATGTTAGTTTTATTGAAAAACTACATTTTACAGGTATTAAGTTTTACCATCAACTTAAAAGATTTTGAGCTTTTATAATCTATTAAACCTTTCACCCATCTCCTATTTTGCTCTTCTTTTATAAGTAGAAAAGATACTTAGTTTTCCTACCTGCCCTAATTTTTCTACTGATCACACCAATAATCATTTTGCTATATAGTTTGTTGACTGTGATTCTATATTTTAACAATCAAGGCACCCAAATAAAAGCAGCCGCTCTAGTCTCCTATTAACCTCAGTCAGTGGTGGTGGTATTGGTGGGAGCAGCAGCATTAAAAAAAAAGTAGTAGCAGCTACCATTTAACAACTGGTTACTACATACTACAACCTAGATGTACTCAATATTCAAAATCCATGAACTCATCTAAAGTATCAATATCTCCCCTTTTACAGTGAGGAAACTGAGAAATGAACAATCTATATGCCCATGTAGCACAAAAGTGGCAAAGCAGAAATTTGAATCTGTGTCTTCAATTTTTAAAAATTACATGCACACCCACATATATATATATATATATTTATAATATATATATTCATTAAAATGTGGGTCCTCAGGGTACATAAAAAAGATATTTCTGGTTTCACAGGCTAAGTATAGGGTACATTTTAAAAATTTCACTCTGAATTTATTCATTCTACAACTATTTATTGAGTGCATACTATAAGTCACAAGGGGTTAGACAACAGGAGATGAACTAGTCAAACTTCCTACCTACATGGAATTTACATTCTAGGGGAGAAAAGAAGTAAACAAATGAGGTAATATATAATTTCAGATAGTGATAAGTGAAATAGAAGGGCTGAAGCCAGGAAGAGGAAACAGTGACTAACGGAGTACGTGGAGATTGGAAGTGGCTGGTCTAGACAGGGTATGCACGCATGATCTCTCAGGGAAGTCATCTTTGAGCAGAGATCTGGATAAAATTACGAAGCCATCCATGCAAAGAAATGGGGAAATCAATGGCTCCAGGGAAACAAGCAGAGGAAAATGCCTAAGGGAACAAGGAGATCAGCATGGCTAAGGAATGAGGACAGTGGTAGGAAAAGGGTCAGAGAGACATCAGTAAGGCCAGATCAGACACAGCCTTTTAGCCGGTAATAAGGAATTTCATTTTTATTCCATGCAGAAAAAAACAGTATGTACTAACATTCCCAAGCTTTAGAAGTAACCTCACACATGCAGAAGAGCTTGTTTTAAAAGAAATCAATGTAAAGTGACATGTCTATACCTGAGATATTTACCTTTGTTTTTAGGCTATAATGAATATCAGAAAGGCAAAATACAAAGAGCAAAAAGTAGACACTCCCCATGTGAGACATCTAGATCCCCAATACATTTATCCAGGGTCCTCTATTTACATAAATCTTTTAACAAAGGATGTTTCCTTTTAAAAGAGGGAAAAGATTCCTGGAGGGAGTATCTGGTTATTTATGATTTTTTCATATTTTATACTACAGCACATGTGCATCTGGAAATGTAAGCTTACATTTTAAACTTAATATAAAACGAAAACATTAGATTAAAAATTACACCAATTAAGTCTGCAGCATACTCATTAAATTTAAAAGCAACACTAAATGTAGTAGAAATGCTTATATTCTGAGAAAGAGTAACAAAATTAAAATTGACTTTAATAAGGAAATAAGCAAAAAAAAAAGTTCAGTGGGTAAAAGGTCAAGTGGTATACTAGGGAGCAAAATTAAATTCTATAGATACAAGATGAGAAGAAAATCATTAGGTGAAGGTCTGGCACAATGGGAAGTGAGGACCACTGTAAAACCTGACTTAACTTTTAAAGATATTATTTTAATATTGGAATATATCAATAACAGCATTATAAGATGCAAGGATTGAAAAAAAATTCTTTCTTGGTTCAAAAAGTACTGAATACATTCAGGAAAAGGTGTACATAGTTTTCTGTATTTTAAGAAAGCAGTTTGAAAATTAGAAAAGTTTCAGAAAAGAACAGTGGAAATATTTAAATTAAAGGTAAGTGACACACTCTCTTTTACTTTCTTATAGTTAGGATATCATAATGATATCATACATTCAAGTCTTATACAGAATTTAAATTTTCTCTGAAACATGAAAAAACACCCTGTGAGCATTTTGCTGTTAATGTACTTACAGGAAATAGTGGGGGTGGCTTCAATACTACATCAGGTAACTTTTCACCTCTGCTAAATCCAACTGCCTCAATATTAAAGGTGTAAGCAGCACGTCCTCTTCCTTTATTTCCAGCCATCAGAACTAGTTACATCAGAAAAAGTGGGCAAATTAAGACACTATTAATGATTAAGATTCACTGGATCAAATGAAAAATGAAACCAACATTTTAAAACAAAATACACTCCACTCCTTAAATAGCATGGCCCATTTAAAACACTTCTGGAAAGCAAAACCTGTAAAGAAATAAATATGTGATAAACTGATTCCTGAACCCATCACATCTAGTCATGTTTGGCAAGTAAAGTGATGATGGGCTCAACTACCTCACCCAGATCCTGGGTGGAGGGCTGATCCTGGGGCTCCTTTGCGATGCTGCCCCAAGCGCTGTGCAGCCAGCTGATGCAATTCTCTCCACCTCTCTGTGGTCTGGCAACAAGATCTCAGATAGATATTACAAAATGTGGCCAAGGAAAGGTTGTGCTGATGAAGAGGGGACACCTTGTTTTTTTAATCAACTTGAAGACTATCAGCAGTCATGTATACTTTAAATTTTTAAATAATTTTTTATCCTAAAATTTGAGTGTTAGAATCCTTGAGATCCTCCAATGTCCTTCTTTTAGAAATGGGAATGGGCTCAGTAAAACTTTGAAGAGGTCTGTCCAAGCAAAAAAAATTTTTAAAGTTCAGAGAAAAAACATCTCAAATAGTTAAGTTAAAGGTAAGATAAACCTGTACTCTTTAACTTTAGAAATAATAACAATGTCATTCTTAAGTCCTGTACTGAATTTCTGAATCGTCTGAAATGTGATTACACTATACAGTTGATGCTTGAACAACATGGGGTTAGGGGCACCGACCTCCCCATGCAGTCAAAAATCCATGTATAATTTTATAGTCAGCCCTCTGAATCCGTGGTTCTGCATTCTCAAATTCAACCAACCTCAGACTGTGTAGTGTTAGTATTTATTGAAAAAAAAATCCATATATAAGTGGACCCATGTAATTCAAACTTGTGTCGTTCAGAGTCAACTGTAATGCGAAAACAGGATTCCTACACTAGGGCTCTTTCACTACAACTCTGCATTGGACTGTAGTGAAGATTATAATGCACATTCTTTAAATCTTTCTCCCAGTGATGCTACTGAGTATCATTCAACTCTGTAAGCCCAAGAAAGCAATAATATGCCCTCCATACCACTGTAACAGTTCCCTCCCTTTTTCCCCTAACCATTTATGTGTTGAAAAAAACAAGGTCATTGTCCTTTGCAATGCTTCTCCAACTTTAAGGCATGTGCAAATTACCTAGGAATCTTGTTAAAAGGCAGAATCTGAACCAGCTGGCCCAGGGTAGGCCTGAGAATCTGCATTTCTAACAAGCTCTCTGAAGCTATCAATGCACTGGTTTGCAGACCACACTTTGAGAGTAGGAAGGCTGTACAATTTCCCATATTCTGGATTTGCATGATTGATTACACAAGATGTGGTTTAATACATTCCTCTACTCCCTGTATTTTCTATAAACAGATGGAATAGAGGCTTACTCAAATTTGGGTTTGATGTTTTACAAGAATACTTAAAAGAGATGCTCCGTTTTTCCTACTGCATCACAGGACGCACATGAAGCCTTTCTCGGTGATGTTCTCTGGTCATTGGGTTTAGGTGCTGTCAGTCTGTTTCGTCCAGTATGAAGTTCCTATCAGTTTTCACTTAATGATTTTAAAATTGCAGCCATTGATGATCATAGCCTAGATTCACGGTTCCATTATGGATTGTAATGTGGTGATACACAAATTTTATCATTCTTTCTTTACTAACTAGAATCCCGCCAGTAATCAATTCCCCTCATCTACTATTTAGTTACTATGAAACACAATTCATACAGAAAAGATACTTACTTTAATTACCAAGCTCATTCCGTTTGTCCACACTAAGAGAGGGAAAATATCCAAATGGCCGTGCTTCAATTGCGGAGTCACTAAAACATATGCTGAGCCTATAGAAAGCAGGTCTCCCAAGCACAAAAATTGCTGAGCAGAAGAGCTCACACCCTCACTCTAAGGAAAACCCACCCTACAAAAGAGGGTATATCAGCTGCCGTTGCTTGATGGAATATCCCTTGAGAAATATCAACTCTGCTGACTCTAAACTTTCATATTTATCAAGAAACCTTCGGGTGTATAAACTGATTACCATTAGTGAATGTACTGCCCTTGGCAGAAAAATCAATCCTAACTATTGAGACACTCTTGATAGTTACATGGCATTCTGGCCTACAAATCCATTTCTTTTTAGTTTGGTTATCATGAGTCAGTTCTCCTGTACCTGGGGAAGCTGCTAAATTAATTTTCTTCTCTTGCAGAGCTGAAAGGTAATCCCTGGACTCGGGTAACCATCTCATGGAAAAAGTGGCTCACAAGTGTGGCCTAAGCTTCACTGTTTGAAATCCTTAAAGTTGATTTAACCATTACTGTGGTCCTTTTTCATCCTGCTAAACTTCTTGAATGAAGAGTCTTTTTAACCAGCTTTTCCCATTTTCTCATTATCCAAATCATCCTCTACTTCATGTGGGCCAATTTCATCCAACTAATATTGAGCATTCCAGGCACTGTGGTAGGACTCAGAGAGCACTGAACAAAACCAAGTCCCTGCCTTCAGGGCTTATATTCCAGGGGATGAAAGAACGCAAACAAGCATAAGTATGTAGCATAATATTATGTGCTCCTGTAGTCCCCCCACCCCCAAATGTGTTGAAGTCCTAACCCCTCGGGGACCTGTGAATGTCATCTTCCTTATTTGGAAATAAACTCTTTGAAGATGAAATCGAATTAAGATGAGGTCATATGAGATAAGGGTGAGTCCCCTCCTAATGACTGGTGTCTTCATAAGGGGGAAATCTGGACAGAGAGAGACACACACAGGGGAAACATCATGTGAAGATGCAGGCACAGACCTGAGTGCTGTAGCAGCAACCCAGGAACACCAAGGAGTGCCAGGAACCACAGAAGCTGGAAGAGAGGCACTGAACAGATTCTCCCTCAGAGCCTCCTGAAGGAACAAACTCTGCTAATACCTTGATTTCAGACTTCTGGCCTCTAAAACTGTGAGAGAATAAATTTCTGTTGTTTTAAGCCACTTAATTTGTGGAAATATGTTATGGCAGCCCTAGGAAATCAGTACAGCTCTGAAGAAAAATAAATCATGGTAAAGGGGTAAAGAATAACAAAGGGGTATGGTACTGACTTTTTCACACAAGGGAAGTCTTTCTGTGGAGGATAAATTGGAGCAGGGTGCTGGAGAGGGGCTGTGAGCTTCAAGATGAAGGAATGAGGTGAAGATGGCTATGGACAGAAGGAAGAACAGAGGCAAAGGAGGAAGCCACAAGCTGGGAGCGTCTGAGGAACATGAAGCTCATGCAGCTGGTGAGGAACAAGGAGAGTCTGGTTAAGACCAGATCTTGTGGAGCCCTGAGTGAGCTATGGTAAAGGGTTTGGCTTTTATCTTACTTGTGATGGGAACTATACTCAGGCAGATGCTGAAATGCAAAGGTCCCTAATGGTCCTCAATGGCAAAATCCACAGGCCTTTTTCCCTTGTTCATGCTCTTGAACTTCCAAAGCATACCACTCATTATTGCCTCCATCCTTATGAAACTGTCTCTTCTCTAGGTTTTAATAAAATCCCAGGGACTTCCCTGGCAGCATAGTGGTTAAGAATCTGCCTGCCAATGCAGGGGACACGGGTTTGAGCCCTGGTCTGGGAAGATCCCACATGCCATGGAGCAACTAGGCCCGTGAGCCACAATTACTGAGCCTGCGCTCCAGAGCCCATGAGCCACAACTACTGAGCCTGCATGCCACAACTACTGAAGCCAATGCGCCTAGAGCCCGTGCTCCGCAACAAGAGAAGCCACCGCAATGAGAAGCCTGCACACTGCAATGAAGAGTAGTCCCCGCTCACCGCAACTAGAGAAAGCCCACACAGCAACAAAGACCCAACGCAGCCAAAACTAAATATAATTAATTAATTTAAAAAAAACAACAAACCTCCCTATTACAAGTACTGGGGGCCCTTTTAAGATGGCTGCACTGATCCTCCTGACTCACTTGCCTATAATCACGTCTTGACTAGCATTCTCTCCACTGGAACCCTCTTCCTCCTTGCCTGGCTGCATCCCTTTTTACCTTAAGATCCAGTTTAAGTCCCTCAACATCCACAACTGTCATTTCATCCCACCTTGCTCTTGGAAAGATCCTCTTGCTAAAATAAATGGATTTTTAAAAATTGAGGTAATACATACAATGCAGCAGCATTCTTCAATTCTGGAAGAAATATAGACAATGCCTCTTTTGGGAAATGGACCTGTTCCAAAGAGAAGGAGTTTCACTTCCATTTTTTTTGTTTATTTCTTCAACTATATTAACAGTAGAGATTTTATATCCCCCACTGTTTAGTAGAATACTCTCTATACAACAGCTCCATAATCAGTGTTAGGCTTTCCTTATTTATTTACTTACTAACTATGATTTGATGAGCAAATTTACCCACAGAAATACAATTCAGTCAGCCTATTATTAAGGATTTTTTTTTTTAACTTCTAGAACAAGTTTGCAACCTGGCTGTACACTGGAATCATCAGGAGAGTTAAAAAAACAAAACAAAACAAAAAACCCTCAAGCATCACCCCAGAACAATAAAATCAGAATCTCTGGAGGTAGGACTTAGGCACTAGGACTTTTTAAAGCACTCCAGGAGATTCCAATATGTAACCTACATTAAGAACCACTGCTCCAGGGCTTCCCTGGTAGCGCAGTGGTTGAGAGTCCGCCTGCCGATGCAGGGGACGCGGGTTCGTGCCCCGGTCCGGGAAGATCCCACATGCCGCAGAGCTGCTAGGCCTGTGAGCCATGGCTGCTGAGCCTGCACATCCAGAGCCTGTGCTCCGCAGTGGGAGAGGCCACAAGAGTGAGAGGCCCGCGTACCGCAAAAAAAAAAAAAAAAAAAGGAAATGTAAAATCAGATGCACCACCCTTCCATTTTGGGATGCCTCCTGAAAATTCCTATTCAGAATTGTTCTGAGATAGTTTGATGAGTGTAATTCAAGTATCCAAGAGCTGAAATGCAAAAGCCTATTCTAATTAACAGTGGAAACAACTTTGTGGCAGAGATTTAGCTCATCTCTGAAACTCCTCCTAGCTCTAACATTTTATGAGTTATAATTGTGGCTTAACTGTATTGTCCTCCACATCTCACACAGTCTCTTGCACATATTACCTTGGTCAGTAAACATACAAACAGATATAAGCAGGCATGGAAGCTAGGAGAGGCACTCAAAGCCAGGTCACAGTTTCTTTCCTGATGAATAGCACCTAAATTGCCCTAATTAGAAACTAACAGTCATGCTGACCTTGTCTCCACCTCCCTTGATCTCCTCATCTAATAGTAGAAGACTATCAGCTCTGTGTCCCTTCTTATATGTTTGTCTTTCTTCACTTCTGCTTTAGTTCAGGCCTTTACCATCTCTTGCCTGGACCTCTAATACAGAACAAATAAACTTCTCATGGCCAGACTCCCCCTTTCAATCCACTCTCCAGTCATCTCTCTAGAACACAAAACTTGATGTATCACTCTCCTTGACTAACAGAGCTTTGGAGACTAACTTTCCGCTTCTTGCACCTTGCACCTCCCCTTCCCCCCACCCCAGCTCTAACCACTCCCAGCTCTGCTACACCAGCTGCTGCATGTCACGGTTCCTTCTGCCCGGAAGGCCACACCCACGTAAGCAAGCCCTCATCATCATTTAAGATACTATGCAAATGCCACTTCTGACCATTTCCTCCATCCGAAATGGAGGTAGGCATATCTCTTTTCTGTTTCCCAAGTACTACACTGCTTTTATTACCCTTTTAAAAATCATGTTGTAATTGTCAGTTCTTGTCTGTCTCCCCAGTAATTTCTTCAATTATCCATCCTTCTAGTATTTGTTAAGCAACCTCTGGGTCAGACCACCTTCTACATAATGAGAATATAATAGCAAACAAAACAAAATCCCTGGTTTCGTAGTGCTCATAGTCTACTATGGGAAATGGAAAAAAATATACTTTATAGAGTGCCAGGTAGTGATTAGTGCAAGAAAAAATAAAGGCAGGAAACGTGAGTGCTATTATGGAAAGAATGGTTGAATAAAGTGCTCCTGTATTTTGTAATATTTGAGCACAAACCTGACAAAGAGAAGGAAAAAGCCAGGCTGAGAACTAGGAAAGGATATATAGGGGAAAGTGTAATACAAGCAGAAGGATCTGTAAGTGTGAAGGCCTCTTTATTTGAAGACTTATTCACCTTTTCCTGCCCCATTACCAACCAGAGCCTGGCAAAAGTCCAATAAAAATTGGGAGCATTACTGCTGAGCTCATGGCCTAGTAAGGATATTACTCCAATTCACCTCTCTTTGCCTAGAGGAAAAATAAAACTGCAGAGAGTTCTGTACTTCCCTGTTGAGAACATCCTAACCAACAGTCGTCTTTTAAGGCCAGCTCAAATGCCACTGAACAATCCCTTCCATGCATATTCTCATAGCACCTAGTTTTTACTTCCTCTGGGGTACATATCTCATTTGCTTTACATTGCAAACATTTGTGTACAGTTATTATCTTCCTTCAAATTGTTGGGAACCCAGATCATGACTTTTTTTTTTTTTTTTAAATTCTGTTTTTTACACATCTTTTAGCTTGGGACTTGCACATAAGAATAACCCTGAACAGAGTGTCTGGATAAATTCTAACTAGGTTAGGCAAATATTCAGAAAGGCTACATCCTCATCGAAGACTTAAGGATTGTAGGGGAGGAGAATACACCTCTCCTTCTAAGAAGGCTTATTAGCAGCTGCCACAATAAGTGTTTTCCTAATTATCTTTTATAATGCTGTCTCATGGGTCTCTATAATTTTTCCTGCCTGAGCAAGGAGGTTAGTCAAGTTCTCAAGGGAATTTCTGAAGCCTAAATGGATGTTTCAACAGTGGGGAGATGCAGGATGGGGACAGGAACCTGGTGTTAATAGTGGGGGTGATTTCTGTGGCTGTTGGGGCCACGCCCAGGCATTATCCACTTTTCCCGTCCTCTCAAGGTGCGGCTGCCTCCACCTTTCCTCAGTTGAGCCTTTTTCCCAACTTTCTTTGCTCTCTTCCAAGAGCGGACAAACAATGCAAAACAAAGGAGGGTAGGGGAACGAATATATAATTTAATTTTTTAGAAGACAGGAAAAATCTTATCAACAACACCTCTCCCCCATGATACAGGGTTAAGTGCTAACAGTTAAGAAAACATACTGAATAGTCTGTCCTTAGCTGCAAGTCTGCGGCAATGACTCGTGTTTGAACCAATCATACCAAAGGAATTGGAAATCTACCATCAGTAAGAGTATAAATTCCATTCTCACTGCAAACAGTCCTAGGAAGTGGAGACTAGGTAAAAATTGGAAGCGACAATTTTAAACGATTGTGAAGGGATTAGGAGAAGGGGACGTAAAGCTATCTCCCAATGCCCCTCAATCCAGAGGCGCTTTAATGAATCTCCACTCCTGACTTCCCCCACCTTCTCCATGTGCCCCTTTAACTCCCCACTTACCCTCTCCAACTCCTCCCAAGCCCTCAATTGCCTCCTCTGTTACCTGCTCACTAAGTCTCGAGGCTTGGAAAACTGTGCAACCGAAGTGCCGGCCGGCAAGGAAGGGGTGCGGACAGAACGTTCCGACGCTCCGGTGCTGGTTCCACCTCTGGAGAAGCGCGCTCCGCCCTCCACGCGGCCTCAGAGCCGCGTTCAAACCCAACCAATTAGCCCCACCCACTCCCTAGCTAGGCCCCGCCCTCCTGGCAGAGAGCTTTTTAGCCCTTGGCGGGCGCCGTAGTCGTCCAACCCCCTTGGCCTGACTCTTTCTGCGCCAGCTGGAAGTGCGCATCATAGCGCGCGGTGGGTGGGCTGCCCTGCTCCCACCCACGCTTAGCTCTCGGCCTCTGCCGTCAGACCCCCAGAGGTGGGAAGAGTTATCACTTTCTGGATCTCTCGTCCACTGCATTGGCCCCTGCGTTAACGCTCCGTTGTGCTAC